ATCATCACAGGGACTTGTCAACTATTTGACTATCTCTACAGTTCATAGCAAACATACTTGTCTTATCGTGTTGCCATGGTAATGCATGTTGTTAACAAAGTAGAGGATTAATGGTGATAGGATATTATCTATATCAATTGTTCTTTCGTCTTTATTAAACAATTACATATTGTAGTGACATTTTTTTCATCCCTTAAAGGAACACCTTCACTATCTGTTCAACCAATCATACCTTAGTTTCAGAAACAGGAATTGTTTTATCTTACATAATCAGTAATAGTGATCACAGCTCATCGTCGAAATTTGCGATTTTCGTGCGCTTAAGTTCTTCTTAAGACAATTAAAGCACAATAAAGAACCAAATCAATCCCTGAAAATGCCGACTGTTCCCCTTAAAGGTACAATCTTGTTAAAATTAAGGCTGCAATATCTAAACGCTGAAATTTAGGATTAAAAATACTGAATTTACAGTTCTGATGATAATACAGGCTTGTAATTTCATTAAACTATTAAAATATCAAGACAAATTCTCATCAAAATCTTACAGAGAGAATTTAGACTAGGACAGAGAGAATTTAGACTAGGACAGAGAGAATTTAGACTAGGACAGAGAGAATTTAGACTAGGACAGAGAGAATTTAGACTAGGACAGAGAGAATTTAGACTAGGACAGAGAGAATTTAGACTAGGACAGAGAGAATTTAGACTAGGACAGAGAGAATTTAGACTAGGACAGAGAGAATTTAGACTAGGACAGAGAGAATTTAGACTAGGACAGAGAGAATTTAGACTAGGACAGAGAGAATTTAGACTAGGACAGAGATAGGACAGAGAGAATTTAGACTAGGACAGAGAGAATTTAGGCTAGGACAGAGAGAATTTAGACTAGGACAGAGAGAATTTAGACTAGGACAGAGAGAATTTAGACTAGGACAGAGAGAATTTAGGCTAGGACAGAGAGAATTTAGACTAGGACAGAGAGAATTTAGACTAGGACAGAGAGAATTTAGACTAGGACAGAGATAGGACAGAGAGAATTTAGACTAGGACAGAGAGAATTTAGGCTAGGACAGAGAGAATTTAGACTAGGACAGAGAGAATTTAGACTAGGACAGAGAGAATTTAGACTAGGACAGAGAGAATTTAGGCTAGGACAGAGAGAATTTAGACTAGGACAGAGAGAATTTAGACTAGGACAGAGAGAATTTAGACTAGGACAGAGAGAATTTAGACTAGGACAGAGAGAATTTAGACTAGGACAGAGAGAATTTAGACTAGGACAGAGAGAATTTAGACTAGGACAGAGAGAATTTAGACTAGGACAGAGAGAATTTAGACTAGGACAGAGAGAATTTAGACTAGGACAGAGAGAATTTAGACTAGGACAGAGAGAATTTAGACTAGGACAGAGAGAATTTAGACTAGGACAGAGAGAATTTAGACTAGGTTTAAAAGTCTTGAATTGACAGATTTTATGAGGTCCTATAACTTTATTANATTATTTAAATTTAAAGATAAATTCA